GTGATGATGGGCTCAAGTATAGCAGGGATTGTGGGGCTGGCGTGGGATCGGGCAGTGTTTCGTTCTGCTGTGCATGGGGTCGCTATGAGTCAGAAACGACTCGATGGCACTTAACAACAACAACAACAATAGTGATGCTTGGGTGAGTCAGAATGTTAGTAATTATACATGAATTTTGAGCAGTTTGCTAATTAGTATTGATGAATCCTTAAAATTGTGTCTTTATGGTTTTAAAATGATGTGCTTTTATTCTAGAAAAATGTTTTAAATTTTTTTTTCAGTGATGATGCTACTTATTATCTCTTTCTAAATGCATTTTAAATGCAAAACCTACTAAACTTCAGTTTGAGGTTTGAATAAGTAATACTTTATAATGATGGATTTTTCTGTCAATTTTCAAGCAAGTTTTAAAAATTATTTATTATGTTCTATTATCTCATCCACCAGAATTGAAAGTAAGTATTTAAAGATAATTTACATACATTTCCTCCATTACCTTTTTGCTAAGTGAGTTGTTATCTATATTTATAGATAATCTATAGTGCTCCCATCTTTTTGTTGAAGAAACCACATGTACAAAGTGAAAGCCAAGAATTTTTTGCAGGCATTAAGGTAGGTAGCAATGGGATGGGTCAGAAATATTTTTCCTTCGTTGCTTTCTTTCCGCAAAAAATTGTGTGATCTATGATGTTGCTTGCTGAACTTCATTGTAGACTGAATCAAAATGTTGAGACCCAAGAGTCTATTTTTGAAGAATAATCCAGATAACCCTAAGGTGCACAAAATCTGTCTGCTCTTGTTACTAAACTAAAGTTGAAATATTCTTGGATTATTTCAGAAATATCTTACATTGGAACTGTATATAAGCTTTCTTCCTATAATTTATTCTATCTTGTAACTAAAAGTTAGAGTATTAATATTTAGTTATTGCATATTCAGGAAGACAAATACCAAGCCATGTACTAGAGCCCATTACTAGGATAGAAATGACACTGAGTGTTGGGCTATAAGGACAACAGAGATTAATCTAACTAAACAAACACCAGGGATCTTGAGAACTGACGAGCTGTTCTAGCAGATGAGCAGTGGTAATAGGGAATCCAGAAGTGGTAGGAGGAGTAAACCAGTACCAAGAGGGCTAGACAGGGAAGCACTGTGTTCTGGGAATTCTCAGCCATTTGACTAGAGTTTGTCCTGCCTCATCCCTAGTCCAAAGGAGCTCTGGTGGTGTAGTGGGTAAGGCATTTGGCTGTTAAACAAAAGGTTGGCGGTTCAAACCCACAATCTGCTCTGTGGAAGGATGATGAGGCTATCTACATCTGTGAAGATATACAGCCTTAGAAACCCAATGGGGGTTGCTATGAGTCAGAATCAACTCGATGTCAGTGGGTTTTTTTTTTTTTTTTTTTTTTGGTTTATCCCTACTCCAAGGACAAGATGGGATATTTGATAGATAGCAAAACTATGACTTAGGAATTGAATAAAGCTTGTTCCTGGATCAAGTCCATGTCTACAAAATAGGGACCAGGGAAAGGAGTGAGAAAAGTAGACTACGTTATCAGAATAGTGTAACCATAGAAGGATGAGGGACTACATTGTCAGACTAGTGTAACCACAAAAGGGGATGTGGAGAACTCAGACACTGGGAGCACAGGGAATCTATGTTTGTAAGCACTTGGTTAGCAAACAATGCCAGGGCCAGTAGTCAATCCTCAGGTACTTATTTCTTTTTGGCTAAGAAGGAATATTCAGTTCTAAGACAGCTATTTTGAGGGCTAGCCAAGACCCAAGACTACATAAAAACTTCCTGCCTCAAATTAGGATTGACCTGTGAACTGGGATAGGATCTGTCTTAGCATGCAGTACTCAGTAAACCCAGCTGTGGAAAATAGAGGCTAGGAAATAAGCTGAGAATTGAGATATTTCAGGTGACAACAATAAATTGATTTCTAATCCACAAATGCTTAGATTTTTAATTGAGTTGGTGAGTATTAATCCCTAAGAGTAAATAGACTCTTGTGGTGTGAGTCAGTAAAGATTAGTAAAACAAATAGGAGAATAGAAGAATCTGTCTTTTCCTTTCTTCACTGCCCACCATAGAACCAGACTACTAAAGCAGGCTCATATGAGACTTCCCTAACATGTGTTGGGGAACCAAATTGGTTCTAAACTTGGAGCAATGAAGCAACTCCATCTATTCTTCTGTGCATTGTTCATAGTCATAGGTTTGATTTTATTTTGTCTTATTTAAAAATTCCAGTGTTTGAGTTATTACCACAAACTCATTTAGCAAAAGATGAATTGTTGAAAAAATTATCTTTCAAAATTATTATATAAAAAATAACTTATGTTTTCGTGTGGGGACTTTTGGTAGATGGAGGAATAGGCAGAAAAGCTACACAGACCCTCTTCAACAAAGAAAAGAGAAACCAACTGACAGATACAGAAGATAATCCTGGAGCCCTAAGCTTTGAAAGGAAGTATACAGAAGTGGATGATGCACCAACTAGTGGGAAAACCTGAACAAAAACAGGACTTAAGAATAGGCTCCATTTGCCAAGGACAGCAGGGACATATGGGAGGCTGACAATGGGAAAGGAGACAGGTGGTGAGTGTATAAGTGCTGCCAACTAGCAAATAGAGGAGTACAGCACAGTACCTTGCTTATGTAGATAACATACAAACAAAACAAAGAAAATGAAAATCATGGGCAAGTCACTCCCACATACCATAACCAATTAAATAGAAACACAAAAATGTCTTGGAGACAATAGAGCATTGCAGTGAACACAAAGAAGCAAGATATACCAGGAGAAACAAGGGACCAGGACCCTGGTCAGACCCAAAACAGATCCCTGAGGAAGATACAGCATTGGAACTCCCTGAAAAGGAATTCAAAAGAATTAAATTTAGGTATCTTCAACAAATTGAGAGACAGATCAAGGAAAACACTGACAAAATTGAAGAAAACACAGAGAAAATCCTATAACAGTTTTGAAAGACAATGCAAGAACAAAATGACAAAATAAATGAAAAATTGGAAATGATACAAAATCTATCAATAGAAATCCAGAAGATTCATACTAAATTTTCAGAAATACATAAGACATTATATGGGCAAAGGAGTAGAATTGAATCAATGGAAGACAGAATTAGTGAGATTGAAGGCAAATACATCAATACTTCTATGGAAAGAGATCAATCAGAAAAAAGATCAAAACAAAATGAAGAAACCCTAAGGTTCATGTGGGATACCATCAAAAGGAATAACCTACATGTAATTGGAATTCCAGAACAGGAAAAGACAAATAAAACCACAGAAAAAATTGTCAAAGATTTGTTGGAAGAGAATTTTTCTGGTATGATGAAAGATGAGAATATATCCATTTAAGAAGTCCAACGAACCCCAAAAGAAAATCACCAAGACATATAATCATCAAACTCACCAAAGCCAAAGACAAAGAAAGAATACTGAAAGCAGCACAGGAAAAATGAAAAGTTACTTACAAGGGGCAACCAATAAGACCAAGCTTAGATTTCTTGGCAGAAACCATGGAGATGAGAAGACAATGGGATGGTATATATAAAACCCTGAAAGAGAAAAATTTCCAACCAAGAATTATGTACCCAGCAAAATTGTCTATCAAATACAATGGTGAAATTAGGACATTTCCAGATAAGCAGAAATTAAGGGAATTTGTTAAAACCAGACCAACCTTACAAGAGATGCTAAAGAGAGTCCTTTGTACAGAGAAACAACAATAGCAAACAACTGACCATTAATACACATGGTGACATAACCCAGAAAACAACCCAGCTATGGAAGTATCCAAAGTAAAGAAGCCTACAAGATTGTAAACAGGGAACCAGAGACATCAATTGACAAATGAGGACAACTACAAACCAAAAAGAGGGAAAAAATTGTGTTCTTACAGAACTTCTAGATGGTAGGGAAAACAGGACTCAAAATAGGACTGGG